CACCATGCAAAGATGGTTGGTTGCTATTGTTCTCAAAATACTGACGGTAATGCGCATGAAAGGCCCGAGTACGAGTGCAACCCTGTTTTTGATTGTCAAATAAGGTCTATTGTGGACAACATGTTTAAACAGCATTATAGGGACCATAGGGTTTTTCTTCTGGAGAAGATCATTAATGATGCGTGTGATTCTAAACATGTATGTAAAGGAGATGGCAAACGTATGAAAAATCTCAAGAGAAATGGACGTTGTGAGTGGGACCTTAAACTCATGGGCCGATACGATAAATCATTTGACACACCTGTGTTTTCATAGCAATGGTGCTGTCTGTGCAACCAATACAAAAATTCTGGAGGAGCTGACTGAATTGAGTGATGAGATGGGGGGGGGGTAAGGCAGGTTCTATGTATGTCAACATATATAGCAGATATTTGTGTGTCACTGGTTTCAGAAAACAAAATAACAAATATTACTGAGCCTGTGTAAGTTATGACCAGCCACATACTAGAACATGACAGAATGCTTTTAGCAGCATTTCTTTGTTGTTTGGTAATATTCAGTAATGTCTTTATTGTTTTGGTGGTGTACCCTGTTTTTTTCTTCAATGTATGACAGTATATATGTATTTTTTTCTCTTAGTTAATTTGTCTTTATTATGGTAATGCAATCCATGTTTGTTCATTATGTACTACTCTATTTCAGTGTATATTTACTTGAAATAAAAGTTTATCAACTCAAGTGTCTATGCCTTTCCTGTAAAAAAGTTAAAAATTGAGCTAGGTGGAAAACATGATGGTGTGAAACAAATCATAGAAACATTGTCGAAACTGATTAAAGCCCTGTATTTATGGCAAATGTATATTTAAATATTTAGAAAATTAGAATGTTGCATAGTGTGTCAAGGATTGGTTACTTGTCTAAAGCATAAAGGTATAAACTGTAGATCATTTATTAAAGTTGGTTAACGTTTAAAACAAGCCAATAACACACAGTTCTCATGTGTAACGGGTTTGTAGTCAGTTTAGAAAGACAACCTTAAAATTTTCGCCCAATTTAGTTTTAAAGATGCACTGACGTACAATTTCATAATTTCTCTTTCATTTGAAAAAGAGAATGAACAAAAGGTATACATGATATTGTTGGTTGTGTCTGGTTTAAAACCAAAAAATTTACATCTCAAACTTTCATGTCAGTTCAAAAGAAAACATTTCTAATACACAGTACATTAGACACTGTTGCAAAAAGATATTAATGCAGTTTGAGTGGCAAATATTCATTTAGTTTTGTAGACAGATCGCACTATTGACAGATCACAGTATTATGTTTTTCTCTTCTTTTTCATTCTTTTATAACTTGTTTTAACACATTTGATCTGTTTTTATCATTTTAAATATTTTTTATTATTGTTTTTATCTTTCTTAAACATGTCTCTTTTATTCCTGTTTATATAAAGCACTTTGAATTGACATTATGTATGAAATGTACTATATAAATAAACTTGCCTTGCCTTGCCTTGCCTTTGTAGAGTCATACTTCTTGTGAAAAATAAATATATACTGTGAAGAATGAGAGAACTAAAGAAAATTGGCAGTAGAAATGGATATTGTGCCTTTTACTGTATGCATCGTGACAGATGCTATGAGAGTTGTGTAAAATTAGACTTTTAACACATATGCAAAAAAAGTTTGCAAAGACATTGAGTTAAAAACTACAGCACTGGTTACTTGAATTAGGTCATTTAATTTGGTATGATGACAGTGGTGGTAAAAACATAATTTAATGTTTCAAAAACATTCTGCATTAGAAGGTTGAAAAATAAACTTATTTATGGATTAAAGTTTACTGCAAAGTATTCTTAAAATAAAAAAGTGTTTACTCTTTGTTATTATTGTGCTTTGCTGACAGTATTGAGTGTAGCATTCAACTAGAATACAAATAATTGTGGCTAAGTGTTGTTATTAATGTTTGGGACACTTTAGAGGTTAAAAAATATTCTTAAATCATGAGTTGAGCCCCAGCCGTCTGGATGAAACCCCAAATTCTAACCTTTACACCATATTGTTGTAACCAATGTACTTCAAAACATCACTTTTTTTCTTTCCCCCAAATGAAACATCGTTGTTCCTAAAAACTCCTGAAGAAAGGGGACAACGTTAAGTAACTTTTGAAAACTGACAGTTTTAAAAAACATGTATGCTATGTTACATACAAACAGTTGTGCAAAATTACAGATTTTTAACACATGCATAAAACATTTTGTGTTGAAAAACTGCAATAGAGTGCAAAATCAAAAGCTTGAATTAGGTCAATGCTATTGGTTTGTAAAAATAAAACTCCAGTCATGCAGTAAGTTTAATGAATAGTATTTTAAACATCACTTTTCCAAGTAAAAATGCACAGATAATGTTTTTATATTCAGAGTGAAAAACATTATGCTAGATTTTAGTTTGAAAATTTGAAAATGTGTTTGCCAATAAAAAAACATAGTTTAAAGAAGTATATACACTCCCAACAAATTGTGTGTAGTAACAATAATCTTGATTAAATCTATTGGTAGAAGAAAAGCATTATTTACCCTGTAAAAAAGTAATCAGTCTACTTTCAAGAACTACTTGTAAACTGGACTAATTTTGACAAATTTGTAGACTTACTAGATTTGACACTGTTGTATGAACATATAAATGGTGGAATCAGTAGTTAAACTAGAAAATTTTACTATAAAACATTAAGTAGATTTAACTAAGGACTGGAGCTGTACTGTTTTTAGATAAACTGAGAGCCAATTTTTCTTCTTAAAATAATTATCAGCGTTTACCCATTATTCTGAATAATATACATATTTCTCTTTATATGATCAAGTATTTGCAATGAAATACAAACAGTTTAAATTTAAAATTCAGTAACTAAGTTGTCTAGTAATGCAATTACTACAATTTATTGTAATAAAATTACATTTTATTTATCTTTTGAAACAGAAATAACAATAATGTCTGATAAGACTGATAAGTCCTTTTTAGTAAATATTTTATGTTGATTTTTTAAACCAACACCAGTGATGACCAGTGCTCAAAACATTAGGCTTTGGATTAACTGTATTACAATGTGTGCCATAAATTACAGGTCATGCATGTAAATAAATTGAAAACATGTTACTCAAAGGAAAAACTTTCATTTTAAATTGTTTTTCATAATAAAAGTTTTCATTAATTATAAAGACAACTTGAATTTACATCTGTGTTTTTCAACATTTTAGAATATTACATTTTAGATAACGTTGTTTTAAAAGGTGTGACAATTTATTGTCAATAAAGATTAAGATTTGTTATTTACTGGATTAATATTGTAAACATTTTCCCAGAGATTGGTTGCGGCTGGAAGGGGCTCAGCTGCGTAAAAACTTGCTGGATAAGTTGATGGCTCATTCCGCTGTGGCGACCGCGGATTAATAAAGGTGCTAAGGCGACAAGAAATATTGTAAATATATTTAAATTTAATAGTCAGACAAAGATACATTAAAAAGTTTGTGTGTCTTTAAATATGTATTAATGTAGTAATAATGTAAAAAACAACATAACCTATTAATGAACATATTTAGTAAATACTGTGTCATGTATTCAAACATACAAGGCCAGACCCAAGTTCGCTCGAGCGCATGCACACGTACACACAAACACACACAGACACACAGACACACACACACACACACACACACACACACACACACACACACACACACACACACACACACACACACACACACACACACACACACACACACACACACACACACACACACACACATACATATGCATACAGTTGACTGCATGTGGATATATAGATATCAGCACACTTTCTAATCACCTAACAACATATAGTATTTAGTGGGAGACACCCACCACATACAATCAGATATACATATTCTACATCTGATATAAATCTATCTTTCACAAGCAGTTGACAGGATGTTATCCACAGTTTTCCTTATCATCACTCACACGCTCAGGCCCAGACTGACACACAGAGGAAACATCGGTATGAACATAAAGAAATGTTTATTTTAATAGTTTATTAATTATAATATAATATAATATGATATAATATAATAATGTAATGATATAGTATAATAGAATAATCATGATATATAATATAAGTTAATTAAATTTAATATAAATATCAATATTATAATAATATAATATAATAATATAATATAATATAATTATAATATAAGTTAATAAAATAATGATTTAATATAACTTAATATGATATAAAATATAATATAATAATATTATATAATATAATTATAATATAAGTTAATAAAATAATAATTTAATATAACTTAATATGATATAATATAATATAATACAATACATAATTTTATTTAATAAAATATAAATTTTATATAACTTAATATAATATAATATAATATATTGTAATGTAATAATATAATTTAGTCAAATAACTAAAAATATAAAATAATGGTTCTAATAACAGTAATTGAATTACCGATATTATTATAATATTAATTTTATTTCTGTTTGTTTAAAATCTAATTACCGGAAATAACCTATTAATTTAATTAGTCTGATAAAAATCTAATTAACGGAATCAATAATTTAATTAGTCTGATAAAAATCTAATTAACGGAATCAATAATTTAATTAGTCTGATAAAAATCTAATTACCGGAATTATTATTTTATATAAAACCGATAAGAATCTAATTACCGGAACTATAAAGTTTATATAAAAGGGGCGGGGCTTAGACCGGAAGTCCCGCCTTAGTGGGCGGGGCTACAATCCATCAAACTTTTTGACAGGTAGTTATTAAACCGATAAGAATCTAATTACGGAACTATAAAGTTTATATAAATGGGGCGGGGCTTAGACCGGAAGTCCCGCCTTAGGGGCGGGGCTACAATCCATCAAACTTTTTGACAGGTAGTGTCCCATAAGTACTACTAAGGTGTTTTTGTGTCATTAATGATCATGTTTTTCTCTCAGATTTCAATGAGACCTGTGAGAGCAGCTCTGGCTCCATGTCTGTGTCTCGCTGTCAGCTTTTTGAAGCTGGTTTTTCAGCTGAGCACTTACACCTCAATGACCCCAGCTGCAGAGGAACCGTCCAGAACGGCAGAGTGGAGTTTAACTTCGACAACGATCAACACATCTGTGGCACAAATCTTGTGGTACGATCAACTACCTGTGTGTTAAATCTGATTTCATACTACTGGCCTGCTGAATGCTTGAGTCTGATTGGCTGATGAACATTCTAAATGTGCGTCTACACCAGATACGGATGAAGCATCAAGTGCGGGAGATTTACATGTTAAGTCAAAGCAAAGATGCAATTAGTCATCCTGGGGTGCGGTTCGCACAAATGAATCCATGCAAATGACACGAATCGACCAAATGACATGTAATTTATGCAAACCGCTTGAAAAGTTGAAATATCTGAACTTTGGTAGACATTTGCGCCACATTAACAAATCAGGACCTTGCTCTAATAGGGGTGTGATTACGATGTAGCAACTGCAGCTGGTGTGTTGAAGGGAAATCGGACTTGGGACAATAGGTCATCAAACTGGGACTTCACATTTTAGCTACATTACCACTTCAGATGTTCATTATTTACTAAGACTAAGAATCCACACCATCAAAACAATATTGACAGGAAAAAAAAACTATTTTTAACAACCCTGACTATCTGTTTAGTCTCCAGGCAGGTCAATAAAGGTTATAAAAATTAGCCAAATAACAGAAACCGTACAAACAGACTTGCCTAAAAACTTCTCAAAGTCTTTCAATCAGTAATGTGTAGTGGAGAACAACATGCTACCGAACACACTGGCACTTTTGCCCACATTCTCTACCAATAATATATAACACATCATTACTTCACTTGACAACTGCTGTTATTCCTTGAAAAATAAAATCACAATTCAAGCTAAATAATAAATAAAAATATGTCTTATTTGTTGTCTGCAGGCCAACGGCAGCCACTTCATCTACAGTAACTATATTGTGGGGACGCCGGGAACAGAAGGTCTCATCAGCAGAGTGAGAATCCTGAAGCTTTCTTTCAGCTGTGTTTATCCTCAAACACAAACACTTTCCATGAACGTGGAGATCAACCCACTGCAGAGGTGCTACAACACACTCATTCTGCTTTCAGTTTGACTGCTTTTTTAGACAAGTTCAAACATTTTAGTTGTTCAATGTATGTCTTAAGCATAAACTAGTTGTATCTTATGTATTTCTGAATTAAACAGCACCGTGCACAAGGTCCTCCCCAGTGGTGAAGGGGTTTATCAGGTGCGGATGGTCCCGTATGTGGATGAAGAGTTCACTCAGCCCTTCACTGGTAGAGTGGATGCAGAGCTGGATCAGGAGATGCATGTGGAGGTTGGTGTTGAGGGGGTCGACAGCCGCCAGTTTGCCCTGGTGATGGACACGTGTTGGGCTACACCTGTGAATGACCCTGATTACAGTCTCCGCTGGGACCTCATCACTGAAGGGTAAAGACTTCTCTCCTCATTAAACATCAGTGTTAACTCACAACATTTTTAAAAATCTACTTCTGAATAAATAATCATCCATGCTAATTTAGGAATCCTCTGAGATTTGTATCTTTTCAGTGTTTTAGACATTCAACATTCCAGTTTTTGTGAAATGAATAACTGGAAATCACTTCTGAGTTGAATGCATGTGATGAAATATTTTGGTTTGTTGATTGTGGTTGTTGATCTCGTCAGGTGTCCCAATCCTGAGGACGACACAGTGAAGCTGCTGCAGAACGGCGTCTCCACAAGCAGCCGTTTCTCCTTCAGGATGTTCATCTTCACTGCAAACTCCACTAAGCTTTACCTGCACTGTGCTGTTCACCTTTGCCTTCTGTCCAGTGAACAATGCTCAACGGTGAGTTTAAAAAGTCTTCAGAATCTCCCACTGATGTTTCAGCACTAAACACAGACAGGGAGATATGATGGTGTTGAGGTTTAATGATGAAGGCTGTTAAACATGTTTGTTCTGCCCTCTGCTGGGGATTTTGTGCACTCCTGTTGGTTTTGTGTTTGTTCAGTGATGTTTATCAGGGATTTGCACAGCTGGATTTGACTCTTTTCTCTTCTAGAGCTGTGACTCTGGAGAGCAGCGGAGAGAGCGCAGGGCTCTGGATCTCCATGACAGTGCGTCACTATCTATGGGTCCTCTAGTGTGGTCTGGAGGAAACACAGGTCAGCATTTCATATGTCTGAATGCAGTGTTGGGGAAGCGGTTCTGAACTGGAGTTCCATAACTGATGAGTAGCTTAAGGTGCATTCACCCTGGCACATTTGGTCTGCATCCAGGTTTGTTTGATATCAAAGTATGGTACATTTAGCTAGTGTGAACGTGACTTCTGAACTTCGTGCACCCGTGAACTGTACGGTTTGTGCGAACTCTGGTCCGGTTCACTTCTGCATGGTATGAATGCAATCGTAGCAAATAATGGAAGTGAACCACCAACTGTACATGAAACTTCAGCTTTCACAACGTTCATTTGTGTGTATGTCTGTGTATCACCTACCTTGGTGACTTGGGACTGACCCAGTACAAATAGTGATAATGTCTGCTTGTCTCCAAGCTTCTGCAGACATCCCGTGCGTGATGTTCTGGACGTTTTTAATGTTTTTGCAGCAGATAGATGCAAGTGACTCTGTTTTGGGTTTTGGTAACAAAACCAAAAGATTCAGTAAAAGTAGAATGACCGTGATATGCGCACGTCTCCATTTTGACAATGTTCTTTTGTTGCCTCAACCTAGTAATCGCCGTACACAAAACAGCAGCTACATGACGCAAGTGTCCCGGGGTTCAGAAGGAAAAAAAACGATGTGAAGACAAACCAGACTAAAAGTTGGCAAGGGGGGGACAATCAAACTTGGGTTTGGTCCAGGCAATTGAATCAAGTGTGAAAGCACCTTAAGCTACTGTTAAACCATCTTTCTATAAAGCAACTATCTGAACTGAGCTTTTTACATTGAAGCTATTTTTGCCCCAACAATGACATAAAACAAATAAGGGATCAGTGTCAATGAGGTTTAAAGTAAAATATTGATAATAGTGCAATACTGTTATATTCTGATGTCAAAGTTTACTGATTTACCACACAGTTGTCTCAAACAGACTCTAGAGCCATTGTTTGATTTAGTGGTAAATACGTTCATCTTATCATTCTATTCTCTGTTCACAGATGTTCAGCTTCTCCCAGACCAAGTGACGGTTTCTGAGGCTTCTTGTCTGTTTGCTTCTCTGGTGCTGTTGTTCATTCCTCTGATGAGTTTCTTCACCCTGTCCTAGTTTACTGACACAGAAAGTGCAACATTTAGACTGGTTCATTTAATTGATGTGGAACTGGTTGTGGTATTTCTTTATAAATATTGTTTTATGAAGGTTAGAAATGTACATTATACATTATATATATTGTAAACTGTTTTTAAACGCTAGGTTATTTTAAAATTTATTTAGGATGATGTGCGTTAGTAAAAAAATTTAAATAAAAACCTGCCAAAACATTATTATGGTTGATCTGTTGAATCTTTAAGTTTGACGAAATAAAATTAGTTAAGATAAGTTGTTTTGTAAAAACAAATAATTCAGGCAATTAAAACAAGGGCATAAAATTCAAAAGGTGAATGAGGAAAAAATAAATAATTTCTATGATTAAAGTGACTTTAAGTTCTGTATTTTTTATGCATTACTCCATACTCCATACTTAAAAAAAATTATTAGAATATGCAAAAAGGTACACAAATTGGGATCATACAAATACAAAAAAAAAAAAAAAAAACGTCAACAAAAAACCATAACAAAACAACAACAAAAAACAAAACAAAAACAATATAGTCAGGTACTGTTAGGTGAGTGTGTGTGTGTGTGTGTGTATTTGTGTGTGTCCATGTAAAGGTAACTTGGTGGACAGGTCAGATTACATACATAGGGAACAAGATCAGTCAATAATTAGGGGGGAATAATAATGGGGGGGGGGGGGGGGGGGGTTGGGAAATCAGGCAGAGGACAAGTTATAATAATAATAAATAATAATAATAGCAGTAGTAAGTAGAAGAGGAAAGAGAGGGAATGGAAAAATAAAATGAAAAACAGAAAAAGAATGGGAGGAGTAGAAGAAAAGGAAAGAAACAAAAAGAGTCGAAAAATAAAGTTCAGCAAATAAAGCAATGAGAATAATAATAATAATAAAAAAATCCACACTTAAAGAAAATTGTCTTGAGGACAAAATTCAAGTTTCAACCAATGTGAAACCATAAATAGTGTCAGCTTAACAGCCGGTTTCCTGATCTTCTTCTCAGATCAGGTTTGTTTTATTGCACAGCGATTCTTGTGATCTTGTTTCATAAAAATTCCATAACAGTTCTGAGGGTCTGATATTATGCAGAGATTTACCATCCTTACAACATCTTGGAATGAAAACAGACTAAACTTGAGGTCACAAAGATCTGATCTGATAACGTCTTCAACCATCATTCCAACACAGGTGCTCTCTAGCAACCTTTCATGACACAACCTCTCCAACGCGACACCTTGCGATACTTTTAAAGATACATATTTATTACAGATGACAGTAAAGAAGAAAAGCTGCCAAATGTAGAAAAATAAGACTAAAGTGTGTTCTCTATTCATGTATGTGCAAAAGTCTGAATGTTATTTTTGTAAAGCTGCCTGAGAGCTGGAAAGATAAAACTGGCTGCTCATCATTCCGTCTATTCAAGCACAAGTGAAAGAATGTCACAGCGACTGCAGACAAATACAGAAGTCAATCAACTCAAATGACAAACATTCTGATCACAGGTGAAAAATGAATAACTGGTTTAAAGTTGTTTTGAAAATTGTGCTGGTTCCTGGAAAGATCCTCCTACAGGTATTAATAAATGCACGAACACGACTATAAGATCTGCAGTTTGACGATCACCTGTGTTGAATCTACCTGTGCTTTGCTCTGCTGCAGCATCTGACCTCAGGTAAATACTTCTCTTATTCGCACACTTTAGATACCCTTCTGCTTTTAATGGGTCAAACTTATTTAGTAAAATGTTCATTTTATTTATTTGTGGACATTGCTGTATTGCTAAAAATAATAAACAAAAGCAACATAAACCAATATTTGATCTGAATGTATGTCGTGTGTGTGTGCAGGTGTCATTCGTCACTATGAGGTTTTTCATCTCACTGTGTGTGTCGCTGCTCCTGATTCATGGTGAGGCCTTTTAAATCTGAGTTGACATTTCTTTATACTTTTAATAATTCTGCTTATGTTGTTTAATTAACAGATGAAAAAACCAGTGGACAAACAGCAGGTACAATAAGCTTTCCACTTTTCTTCCTCTTCCTATCCTTTGATTTGTATTAAAAAGCAGAAATTAAAGACCTAAAGGAGCACTTTACATGATAAATAGTAGAAGTAAAAAGTAGTAAAAACTTTATTGTCCTTGACAGGAGATTTGTTATGGGCATCGCCATATTGCTGCAGACACTCACTAAAACAAGCAATAAAAAACAATAGAAAATACAACAATTACAAAATTTATAGTGCTAATTAAGATGTACTCTTATTACTAAACCCACTGACACAGGCACAAAGGATTTCTTATAGCGGTTTAATCTACACTTTGGGACTCTATGGGCCCTATCATACACCCGGCGCAGTGTGGCGCAAAGCGTGACGCAATAGTCTTTTGGTAGTTTCAGCTTGGCGCAAGAGTCGTTTTGAGGCGTTGCGCTACGCTGTTTAAATAGCAAATGCATTAGAGCTCATATGTGCGCCCATAGACGTTCTGGTCTAAAAAGGAAAGCTTTCTGAGGCGCACTGCTGGCGCGTTGCTATTTTGCGAAACTATAATATATTTTTCATTAGACCAAAACAAACCCGGTCTAAACTCCGGCGCAGAGTTGCGCCTCGCTTACACACTGCTTAATACGCTATTACGCCCCAAGTCTAGGGGAAACGAAAAGGGCATAATAAACGAAGAACAAACAAATGTGTTGGGGTGGTGGATTTCCCAAACTAAACAAAACTTAAAGCAAAAGATTCCCTTCGGTCGACAACCAAACTCACACACTCAATTGAGAGTATATATGAAGATATTTATTATAGAAAAATAGGGTTTATATAAACGAGCATTTCGTCAGGGTGACCACAGGCCAAAATAACAAACAAAAGAATCTATAAAATAAATCCACTAAATTACCTATTACTATTTAAAGAAACATACAAGAATCTTACCTGACTCCCTAATATAAACAAAGTCAAAAGTAATCAAATAAATAGGCAGGTCACCCCTACACACTCAAACTCTCAATAAATATTCAAGCATAGGATGGTCATCAATACAAAATTGATTATTGTTGGTCGTCGGCCGAAGGGGTGAGGGAAACCCAGGAGCTCCACTCCAAACACCGAACGCAGCAGAAATGAGCTCTCCGATTCCTGCCGGAAGCTCCCTTTTATACAGGCCTCGTAGACCAGCAGCCAATCAGAGCAGGGAATCACGCCGGTGTGGGAGCCTATAAGACATCAGAAAAACAGCAAGGAGGCGGGACAAAAGAAAAAGGTGTACAATCCGCAATAATAAAAAAAATAAATAAACTTCAGTCGTAACAACGCACAAGAGAGCAATAGGCAAATATCTTTACATATGACAAAATGTAAATATTAAGGATATATATAGGATATAATAAGAATAGATATAACACTTTACAAGATAAATAGTAGTAGTAAAAAGTATTAAAAACTTTATTGTCCTTGACAGGAGATTTGTTATGGGCATCGCTGTCACACAACCAGCGATCGCTTTCCAGAGATCGCTGGTTCTCACACGAACTCTCAGGACTACATTTCCGTATTCCCCAGGACTACACATTCATACATGCACTGCTCCCAGACACGCACGCCTGCTCATTCATCTATCCTGATTGCAATCACCAGCTGAACCTTGTCACAGACTGATATCACACCATTCATTAGCCACTCTTTCACCCTTCCAGTTTGCCGAGTCTTGTTTTCGCAGTGTGACATTACAACGCGTTTCTCCATGTCTTGTTTTCTCCATGTTTAGACCCTAGCCTTGCATTCCTTGTTATCCTGCTTAGCCGCCTGCCTTTAGACCTATTGCATGTTATATTGACGACGATTCTGGATTTGCCTACACATACCTGTTTACACCTGTATGACCACTGCTTGCCTGACGCTGAATAAACCTGCATATTGGATCTTACCTTCTGTTGTATCTGTCACTCCACCCCGTCGTTACAATCGCCATATTGCTGCAGACACTCACTAAAACAAGCAATAAAAAACAATAGAAAATACAACACTTACAAAATTTATAGTGCTAATTAAGATGTACTCTTATTAAATAAACCCACTGACACAGGTACAAAGGATTTCTTATAGCGGTTTAATCTACACTTTGGGACTCTAAATCTTCTACCAGAGGGAAGCAGTTCATACTGTGGAAACAAAAAATGAGTTTGATCATTTACAATCCTTTCCACCTGGTTGAGAACACAGTAAATGACATTTGTTAATGTATAACAGGGCGAGGCAGTGGCGCAGTAGGTAGTGCTGTCGCCTCACAGCAAGAAGGTCGCTGGTTTGAACCTCGGCTCAGTTGGTGTTTCTGTGTGGAGTTTGCATGTTCTCCCTGCCTTCGCATGGGTTTCCTCCGGGTGCTCCGGTTTCCCCCACAGTCCAAAGACATGCGGTACAGGTGAATTGGGTAGGCTAAATTGTCCGTAGTGTGTGTGAATGTGTGTGGATGTTTCCCAGAGATGGGTTGCGGCTGGAAGGGCATCTGCTGCGTAAAAACTTGCTGGATAAGTTGGCGGTTCATTCCGCTGTGGTGACCCCGGATTAATAAAGGGACTAAGCCGACAAGAAAATGAATGAATGAATAATGTATAACAGGCAAATAAAATGCACAAAGGTTTTAGAATTCCTCGAAAGAGAGCACGCAGTAAACAGTTCTTGAAATATTAATGCTTTTATATATAAAGCAAAATTAATTTCTTGTTTATTTGAACTGTCCCTGGAAGAATGCAGTGATCAGTGGGTGAAAAGAGGAGGGCAGGCTAGATTTACAGTGGCAGGCCAGATTGTACATCAAGCCACCGTTGCTCCCTATGGGCAGTCTGTCTCTGATGACTGGTACTTACTTTTAGTTATTAACTGAACTTCTAGTAATCAAAAAGGATGCTTTTGAAACCAGCCTGTAAAATGTAAGCCTGTAAGACTTCAAAGAGGTAAGGTTAAAGTGAAAATACTGCATGCAAGACATGTTCTGTCTGAAACCTGAAGAATGCAGAAGTATAAATGCATGTGAACATTGAGTTAATTTCACAACCTGTGAAGTGGGCGGAGTCACAGATGGCAAGCTCTATGATTGACAGCGGTAACACTTGCTTCACAAACAAAACAGACCAGAAATAATGATAGTAGACGGGCAGAAAATGACATTGTAATTTACAGTAACATGCAGTGTATGCAAAAATACTTTCAAATGCACATAAAAAATGGTTTTAAAGGCGATTTGTTAAACTTTATTTTATACATATTTACATTTATTGGATAGTTTACCCAAATCTGCAAGAAAACAGGCTGATGTGTTAACATGTGGAGTGAAATCTGTGTGACCTACAGTACAAAACACTGTAAAAGCTTTACACTGTACATGTTTGCTGGATTTATAAAGCATCTGTGTCTTTAGGTTGGTCAGTCTATCTGATGCAGTTTTTCTACATGTGTTTTGATTGAATCATGGAGCTGATTAATCGACTTATCCAATCTTTGTAGACAAGACAAAAATAAACACAAGGACTGCAGGTTGAGTCAAAGCACTGCGTTAAAAGTACTGATGCAGAGTAAGGCCCAATCCCAATTCTACCCCTTAGCCCTTCCCCTTCCCCTGTTTTGCATGTTCACGTAATTCTCTTCAGCTTTAAGGCTTAGGGCTAAGGGGAAAGGGCGGATAGCCTTTGGAACAGAGATTTTTCAGGATCACACATTAGAAACCAAGGGGTCAGAAAATTTCCCAGAATACACCAGTCACAACGGCAGGATAGCTGTACCCGGAAGTAAGGATATCCACAAATTGTATTTTTTTTGTCATTATTATGAATTTTTACAACAAACAAGAACATGTTTTAATGCAATCAGAACCGCCTTCATGTTTTACCAACCCAAGCTCATTCTGGAAACGTAGCCCCGCGGACGTTTCTGGAGACCGCGATTTAGGTGGCCGGAGGTACGTAAAGGCCGCATTTGTTTTTTTTCGAGCGAACGCTGCGGAGCGGTGTGGCGCCGCTTCGCCCCTTCTCTTCGCGCTAGCCGGCCGACGGCTCGCCTCCGAGTGGAGTGCTTTCCGGATGCAATCAGTTTGTCCGCTTAGCTCACAGCGTTGCGTCGGCGGAGCGGAGGCCCCGGACGAGGAGGAGGAAGAGCCGGCCGCGGTGGACGACGACCTGGATCGAGTCAGGGGAACAGCAGGTTCTGGAAATCAGGTAAGACGAAAAACGGAATCCGAAAAAAATAAGGGCGAGAACGCGGCGGGATCCGAAAACACGGTCGAAATCGAAGATGAGGGCTTTTGCTTTTTTTTTTTTTTCTGGACGGCTTTTGCAAACCGTCGCTCGGGTTTAGGGAAGGAGGAGGAGGAGGAGGAGGAAGAGGAGGGCGGCCGAGTCGGCCGATCCGGCGGCTTTTCGCGCGAGAACGGCACGGGTGCGAACGGCGTGCGTTCCCGAGAGGCACCCGAGACGCGAAAAAACGCGCACAGCGGCCTCTCGCGGATCCGCGAAAACAAAAACCGCTCGAATACGTACCTCCCGGGACGTAAATCGTGGTCCGCAGAAACGTCCGCGGGGCTACGTTTCCACAATGAGCCCGGGTTGTGTTTTACAGTCATGCTTTAAAAAAAAAAAAAACGCAAAAAACCCCCACTAAAATAAAAACAGCTAGATTTCGCTATCTGTAATCTATAATCATAACTCCTGCACAGCAGTCCCACAATATTCTGTCACCTAATGTCTCTCAAATACCTTGTTAGAAATGTCTAGTTGCTGGGAATGAGCTTTTTACAGTGTCTGCTATAATGTTAATGTTGTTTTTGGTGTGTTTACATTGATGAATAAGGCCACGGTGTAAACAGTATAGTTACAATCTTAATGCCACATTCGATCATTATGATAACATAATATATGCCTTCAGTGATTTCCTGAAGATAAATACCAAAAAATAGCACAACTGGAATAACACTTTAGACAAAAGCATCTGCTAAATCAGGGGTTCTCAAACTTTTCAACCCCGAGACCCCCAAAATAACAATGCCAATGAATGGCGACCCCCACTATTTTCGAAAGTGGTTATAATCATGCAAATGTTGCACGCAACTGCTCACCCAAACCAATGGGCCTATAAACACAAGCATATTGACAACAAAAAAAGTGCAACAGACTAACAAGTATATATATATATTTTTATTATTATTTAATATTAACTTTACCAAATGAGACTGGTGGGCACAATATTTAAGTAACATCACAAGTCTTTTCTTGGTTTAATTTTGGAGACTAATTCAGTCTTGTCTGTATTTATTGTAAACGTACATAAGTTGCGTAAAGGTGTCAGAAAGTTTATCTAGTGCCGTAAAATCAATCTGCTGCAAGTGACGCTATTGCTCTGTCGTTAAGCTAATGTAAAAATCCCAGGGGTTGCAATTCAATGGGGAAAAAATGAAAGGCTGATGGCTTTTTGTTTGGATGTTGCACTTTTATGTATGGTAACTATTTTTATATTCTGTAAGTTATGGATAAACAATGGTGATTTAAAACGTTTATTCAAATTTATTAGATTTTTGGAAATAACCAAGTGACCCCTCTCATTGTCCCGCGACCCCCCAGGGGCTCCCGACCCCCACTTTGAGAACCACTGTGCTAAATGACTGAATGAATAAATGTGAATTACTATTAGACACATCACACTCTATCATACAGAGGTGTTTAGCAAAACACTGTATAACATTCATGTTTTTTTTCTCTTGATTGTCCAGTATCTACTACTTCCAGCTTTGATCCATGTGATGAATATACCACTCTGGATGATTACTGGCGAGATATGAGACAAAGGTACTACTATTACTATAATGACACCATGGTTGAATGGAGCGGCTGGTATCGGCTGTATCTGAGTGGACAAAGTGCCCAGATGTCTGAGTGGTGTGCGAGTTATATGGGCTGTGGTGGGCACACTGGATTGTATCTGAACGGTTCTCATCCAACACTTGAGGATGGAGTGGTGACTCGTGATGTTTTAGGAGGAGATTTTTGGTCTAATAATTGTACAAAATACAGATCCACATCCATCCAAGTCAAAGCCTGTCCAGGAGATTATTACGTCTATGAACTCGTTTTAAACTGTATAACTTTGGTCAAATGTTTTGGGTCTCCTTCCACAAGCTTTTCTCAATAGTTTGCAGGAATTTTTGCCCATTCCTCCTGACAGAATTGATGTAACTGAGTCAGATTTGCTTTGCTCGCACAAGCTTTTTCAACTCTGCCCACAAATTTTCTATAGGATTGAGTTCAGGGCTTTGTGATGGCCACTCCAAAACATTCACTCTGTTCTCCTTAAAGCACATTTTCACTAATTTGGCAGTGTGCTTAGGGTCATGGTCTGTTTGGAAGACCCATTTGTGGCCAAGTTTTAATTTCCCGGCTGATGTCTTGAGATGTTGCTTCAGTATTTCTCCATAATGTTCTGTCTTCATGATGCCATCTATGCTGTGAAGTGGACCAGTCCCTCCTGCAGCAGTTGGGCCAGTCCCCCCCATACTTCACAGTTGGGATGGTGTTCTAGGCTTGTGTGCTTTCCCCTTTGTCCTCCAAATGTAACACTGCTCATTATGGCCAAACAGTTCAATCTTAGCTCCATCAGAGCACAGGACATGTCTCCAAACATTAGTACTAGTGTAATTTAGCAAATAGTAATCTGGCTGTGTTGTTGATTCTGGCTTGTTGATTCTCCATGTTGTCACACAAGGAAGCAGTGTGTTTGAGCTTTTCCTTCAATACTGTTCTACAGTTGTGCCTCCAATTAACTCAAGTGTTGTCAATTAGCCAATCAGAAACCTCCAAAACCTTGACATCATCATCAGAGCTTTTTCAGAGGCAGAATAATCTTAATGTATGTAAACTTGACTTTCAAGAAAAGTTATAACAATTTCTCAAACAAAAACTCTCTCATTCTGCTATTAAGAAACACATTTGACAATCCTTACTTACCTAAAAGAGAAAAATTTTAGTCACATCAACATTTGACTTTTTGGTCCCACTTTATATTAAGTGGCCTTAACTAATATGTACTTACATAGGAATTAATAGTTTGTTACAATGTACTTATTGTGTAAATACATGTATTTACTGTGTACTTATGCTTGATTAAATACATGTATGTAATTACAACTGTAATTAATATTTGTAATTACATTTGTAAATACACTGTTGACCATCCCTTACACCTTAACCCACCCTTAAACCTACCCATGCCACCAAACCTGTCCATAACCCAACCTCTATCCCGACTCAAGATCACCACAAGTGTTCTCAAATACATTATAAACACAGTAAGTACATTGCATTTATTTTTTTGATGTAAGTACATAGTAGTTAAGGACACTTAATATAAAGTGGGACCGACTTTTTATATATGGTTATGTGCCTTTTTAAACAGTGCATGTAAACTTCTGGTGTCAACTGTATATAGCATTTACTTAACGCTCACAACTTTAAACCCTTTAACACTTAATGCACACTGTATATGACCATGCTGAATTATCATCACACAGTGCTTTTGAGTTTAAAATGAATCCTTTACCTTAAAATGTTTGATCATTGAGAACACTTACAGTAGTTTAGTTTAATGAGAGATGAGACCTCTTATTTTGTACATCTGTAATGTAATGGGCTTTTGCCAACACTAAATACAATTTAATTACTCCAAATCATAATAAATACACATTATTTTGTGTTAGGTTGCAATATTCTACTATCTTCCATGTGTGTACAGTATTTAATCAATACTTTTTTTTAAACTCCATGACAGTTGTTTTCCAAAGCATCAGCAGTGACCCCTGCTACAACTATGAGTCTCTGGATCGCCCCTGGAGAGCCACCAATGAAAGTGGAGATTACATTTGTGACTATTTTTCCTCCTGGAGGGGCTGGTACAGGCTTTTCTACAATGGATTGGACATCAGGATGCCAGAGACCTGTATTAATGGATTCAGCTGTAACACATACATAAATCTGGCACTTGATGGTCCTCACCCTCAGATAGAGGATGGAGTGGTGATCAGAGAGGTCTGTGGTAGTTCTTACTGGAGCGGCTGCTGTGATAGCAAGTCAATCCCCATCAGAGTGAAAGCGTGTCCAGGAAATTATCATGTCTATGAACTTGAGAGTCCACAAATCGGGTGTTCAGGATACTGCATAGGTACTGTTCATTCTTCCACAAGTCCTTCAAGCATTTATAATGATATCAGTAATGATTATAAAATATCCAGTAACCTTTATTTGTTTATTTTGTTATTTAATCAGATGTCAGCACTATCTCACAGGTGGTTTCTACTGCAAGTCCAGATTTAATAACTGGATCCACTATCACCTTCAGTAAGTAGTGTACACACACAATTATGTAAATAAAGGTGCCAGTTTTGATCTGATAATCTCTTACTAACACAGATTATGACCCGTGCAATAACTACAACACACTCAACGACTACTGGAGAAGCACAAGCAATTACTTGCCTATGTATAATGATGTAAATGGATTTGATAACGATCATGAATGGGACGGCTGGTACAGACTCTTACTTAATGGATTGAGTGCTCAGATGCCGGACTGGTGTGCCACTTATATGTCATGTGGAGGATTTACTGCTTTGTGGCTTCATGGATCTCATCCTCAACTAGAAGATGAAGTTGTTACTCGTGAAGTTTACGGCTGCCGTAATGATCTGAGCAGTCGCTACAGATCCAACCCAATCCAAGTCAAAGCTTGTCCTGGAGATTATTATGTCTACAAGTTTACCAGGCCTCCTCTTTCAATCCCAGGTCCAAGCTATTGTGCAGGTATATTCATCTTTACACAGTGTCTGACATGCTTTGTCAGTTTGTTGTATGAAAATTAATTTGACACCTACCAATTCAAATCTTATAAACATCATCCATGATCTTATATTTGAAAATCTTTAGTATTTCTGCTTTTCTTTTTCTTCTACAATAGTATCTTTCCCTACCCCAAGTGTCGACCCCTGCTACAACTACACTATCCTGGATGAACCTTGGAGATCCACTGATAACTCTTACTATAGTAACTTAAGTAACTATAGATGTGATTACACTGAGTGGAATGGCTGATACAGGCTGTTTTACAACAGTCAGAGTTCTCAAATGCCAGAATCATGTGTATATGAAGGCATGTGTGGCACTTATTACCCACTGTGGCTCAATGAATCCCACCCTCAGCTGGAAGATGGAGTGGTCCTCCGTCATGTTTGTGCTCATGGATGGAGAGGCTGCTGTACTTACACATCCTCCCCTGTAAGAGTCAAAGCCTGTCCTGGAGATTATTATGTGTATGAGTTTAAAGAGCCATTATTTTGCGCAGCTTACTGTGTTGGTGAGTATTTATTCATGTGCACTTCAGTCTTGTATTTTTTCTGGATTTTGTTTGAAAATATCTTATAATGATACAAAAATGTTCTCAGTACCAAAAGCTACAAACCAGTCCAGCACAGCAGTGACAACAACCCAGCCAATCACATCCATAGACTTCATTAATCCACCAACAACTGGTAAATCTTTCTTTCTTCTTATAACATAATGGTGTAGAACAATACATTGCATTTAGTAGCTTCTCCAAATAGAGCCCCCTGCTATATTGCAGCCATTTGGTAAAATCATTTCAGTAGGTTTTTGTTTCCCTGAATGTACACACAGCACCCCATATTGGCAGAAAAACACAGAATTGTTGACATTTTGCAGATTTATTATAAAAGAAAAATATCACATGCTAAGTATTCAGACCCTTTGCTGTGACACTCGTATATTTAACTCAGGTGCTGTCCATTTCTTCTGATCATCCTTAAGATGGTCCTAAATCTTTATTTGAGTTCAGCTGTGTTTGATTACACTGATTGGACTTGATTAGGAAAGCCACACATCTGTATATTTAAGACCTTACAGCTCACAATGCATGTTAAAGCAGATGAGAATTATGAGGTCAAAGGAACTGCCCCTGTAGAGCTTAGAGACAATTGTGGCAAGGCACAGATCTGGCCAAGGTTATGAAAACATTCTGCTGCATTTAAGGTTTCTAAGATCACAGCGGCCTCCATATTACTTAAATGGAAGACATTTGGGATGTTCAGATCTCTTTCTATAGTTGGTCGTCCAGCCAAACCGAGCTATCAGGGAAGAAAAGCCTTGGTGAGAGAAGTAAAGTAGAACCCAAAGATCACTGTGGCTGAGCTCCAGGGATGCAGTCGAGAGACGGGAGAAAGTTGTAGAATGTTGTAAGTTAGGTTAAATATATACTTCAATTAAGTCAGTACAGTGTAATATAAGGGCCTACTCACACTGTGCCATCCGTACCGTGCCCAGGCCCGTTTCCCGGATCGTTTAAGAAGTGTGAGTGCGCTGAATCGGGCTCAAGCACGGTTCACTTGGCCGGCCCTGGCCGGGTTGGAAGAGGTGTGCCTGATTGCAGTTCACTTGGGCTTTGGCATGGTACGCTTGTGCGTGAGTGCAAAACGCGCCAAAGCCCGAAACTGAAAGCGAGACGTGACTTTTAAGGGACTGTTTCATATAGATTTATTAATCATTCTTACTGTTCAGTGAACGCAAACTGCCGTAGTTTATTAAAGACACAAACTCCTCACTTCACGACAGCTGCGCACCTTCAGCAGACCTCCTCATTCCTGAAGCACGGGAGCTTTATGATTGTTTATGAGCACCAAAAGTGGCGGATCTGTACGGCGAAATATCTGACTGCGTGTCCCCGCATCCCTAAGCACTGTTTGCCGAAATATTTGACGGCATATCAAACGACTGAAACGATATAATTAGAGAAATCTCCACTGTGCTGAGTGAGAGAGCGCTTCTCACTGAACAGCCCAGCAGCGATGACGTAAGCGTGCCGAAACCCGTTTGTGGTGTGAGCCCAGGCCGTCGGGGGAGACGGGAGGGGGGACAAGCGTGCTTTGGCCCGGTTCGAGGCAACTGTACCTAGTGTGAGTACGGCCTTAATGTCACTGCTGAAAGCTGAAACACCAGGAGAAAACTCACTGATGCACAGCTCCACAAGTTGATGTATGTAGAGTTTGAGATGAGGAGAAAGAGACTGACATAAGTGTAGATAAGTGTTCCCTGCTCCGGTGGCCATAATAATAAATGCAGCCTAACTATCTTTTATAGCAGGGGTGCTCAATCCTGTTCCTGGAGATCTACCTTCCTGCAGATTTCATCAGCTATCCATATCAAACACACCTGAACCAATTAATTTGGACCTGAACACCACTTGATAATTACAGGCAGGTGTGTTTGATATGGGTAGCAACTAAAATCTGCAGGAAGGTAGATCTCTAGTAACAGGATTGAGCACCCCTGCTTTAGAGGATTTGGATTCCAAGAGTTATGCATTTCTGTTTTATGAGAATGCTAATGCAAAGAGATGTGTCTTTAGTCTAGTTTTAAACTGACAGTGTGTGTCTGACCAGCCTGATCTCACGAGAAAACGTAAGTATTTTACATTTTGTCAGTTTAGAGGCTAATTTATACGAATTCGTACGAGTTCAGTCGTACAAAATTGTACGATTTTAGAAAGGAGGCGTGGCACCTAACCCCACCCCTAAACCCAACTGTCATTGAGGGATGAGCAAATCATACAAAATAGTACGAATTTGATCGTACGAATTCATACGAATTAGCCACTAAATCAAAACGTTACGAATTGCCGTGAGATTGTGTTGGTCTGACACCCAAATTGGGCTAAGAAGTCTGTTGCAGAGATTAGGTGCCAGATATGAGATCGTCTTATTAATTGCATACAGTTGATTTTGATATAATTAATCAATTGTCCAAAATTAATTGAGCATAGTGTATGTGAGGGGTTGTAATACAGCGGGAGCTCCCTCAAATACTGGGAACCTAAGCCATTCAGGGCTTTGTAGGTGATCAATAAAATTTAAAATATTATATAATCAGTTTTGCTGTCCTAATTAGGGACCCTGAAATTTAATGTTGTCTGTTCAGTGCTCCGTCATGTGATTACACATACCAAAACTACTATAACCGATGAATATGTTTCCAACAGCTCCCCCTGTTGACCCCTGCTACAACTACTTGAACCTGGATGAGCCATGGAGAGCCACCAGCAATCAAAACTCCTCTCAGTTAATGTGTGACAGTGCGGTGAGCTGGAGCGGCTGGTACCGTCTCTTCATTAATGGTCAGAGTGTTCAGATGCCAGACACATGTGTTGATGAGAATAGCTGCGGCACTCATGCTCCACTGTGGCTGAGCGGAGGACATCCAACACTTGAGGATGGAGTGGTCTCTCGTAATGTCTGCGCACACTGGAGAAACAACTGCTGCTATTTCCAGTCCAATCCCATTCAAGTCAAAGCCTGTCCTGGAGGTTTTTATGTCTATGAGTTTGTGAGGCCGACCACCTGCAATTTAGCATACTGTGCAGGTACTGGACACACATTTAACTCTGCCTTCTGTTTATGTTAGAGATGATGGCTTTCTGTCTGACATTTATTTGTGTTTCTAGATGTGAGCTTTAACACTAGCTATACAATATCTGGTAATGTAATATGCTGTAGCACAGTTTGCAGGATTATTGCTCAAATTAAAGTGCTTTGAGTGTCAGAATCTGTTGAAGACAGTTGTAAAAGTAAAGTAAAAAACAAAACATTTTAACTAAATGTAAATGTGAATATCATGTCAATTCATTAGTTTTTTGTGTGTTGTGCTTTTCACAATTACAGTTGAAGTCAGAATTATTAGCCCCCCTTTGAACTTTTTCTTCTTTTTAAAATATTTTCCAAATGATGTTTAACAGAGCAAGGACATTTTCACAGTATGTCCGATAATATTTTTTCTTCTGGAGAAAGTCTTATTTATTTTGTTTCAGCTAGAATAAAAGCAGTTTTAAAATTTTTTAAACACCATTTTAGGGACAAAATTATTAGTCCCTTTAATCTATATTTGTTTTCAATAGTCTACAGAACAAATCATCGCTATAAAATACCTTGCCTAATTACCCTAACCTGCCTAGTTAACCTAATTAACCTAGTCTTTAAATGTCAATTTAAGCTGTATAGAAGTGTCTTGAAAAATGTATAGTAAAATATTATTTACTGTCATCATGACAAAGATAAAATAAATCAGCTATTAGCGATGAGTTACTAAAACTATTATGTTTAAAAATGTGTGAAAATCTGCTCTCCGTTAAACAGAAATTGATGAAAAAATAAACAAGCGGTCTAATAATTCAGAGGGGCTAATAATTCTGACTTCAACTGTTTATTTGTTCCAAGCAACTTTACAAAAGGTAATCTTTATTATATTACAAGTAAAATCAAGTTTTAGTGTTGGGCAGTAGCGTAGCTACATGTAGTGGCGCTACTAGCTTGCCACATTTTTCAGTAGCGTGGCAGTAGCGTATCTACTTTCTAAAACAAATAGCTTTTCAGTAGCAAAGTTTTTGTCAAGTAGCGTACACACAAGCTACATTAGCAGATCATGGATCAATAAGTGACAGCACCGACATTCACAGAGCTGTGAGGCTGGTGTCTAGGGGATGGAAGTAAATCCATATGACAGAGAGAATGACTCTTTGTGTTTTTCGGTGGTCGATAACAAACTGTTTGGTGCATTACTGCTACCTTTCGCTATGGTCGGTGACATCGACAAACAATTAGGCTAACACGAGAAATGTTCTTACTGGAAAGATGACTGAGGGAGAGTTCTGTTTAGTTTACTATGGTAAACGCTAAAGTATACTAAGATTACTATTAGTTAATGATAGTTACTAGTTATGTAGTGTAATTTTTTAATGAAGAGTTGTAAAAACTCTCGCATTTAATCTGCCCAGTTGGTGGAATGAACTCCCTGACTGCATCAGAACAGCAGAGTCACTCGCTGTCTTCAAGAAACGACTAAAAACTCAACTATTTAGTCTCCACTTCCCTTCCTAATCTGCAATTGCCTCTCTGGCTCAACCGCTAACTGTATTACAGAAAAAAAAATATAAAAATTACTAATTTTTTGCTTCTTTCACTCTACACACCTGAAACTTGCCTACAGCACTTATTCATTGTTGCTCTTATAGTTGTGTAAATTGCTTCTTTGTCCTCATTTGTAAGTTACTTTGGAAAAAAGCATCTGCTAAATGACTTAATGTAAATGTAACATGTAAATATTTGACTTGGATTTAGGTTGCTTTGATTTAAAAATAAAAATTGCAAAAATAGCTTAGATGTAGCTAAGCTACTTTTGCCAAGTAGCTTTTGGCTTAGCTTTCTTCATTTCCCAGAGGGTAGCTTTTAGTGTAGCTACGCAACATTTTAAGTAGAGTAGATAATAGCTTAGCTCACTACATTTTTCAAGTAGATTGCCCAACACTGGTTGGTTTTATTTTTGTGGCACAATGATCAGAAACATATTAATGCTAACAACATGTTTGTCTAGATGACAGAAACCCCTGTTCTGAACTCAACTGCTCCAAAGAGGAAAGGTGTGGGATGAAAAATGGTGTTTATGGCTGTTTATGTAAGAAAGGCCACCAAAAACAGCGAGCAGCTCAAGACTCCTTTGGTTAGTGTGTGATTCTACAGTCAAATGTGAAATAAAAGGTGTTTTTGTGTCATTAATGATCATGTTTTTCTCTCAGATTTCAATGAGACCTGTGAGAGCAGCTCTGGCTCCATGTCTGTGTCTCGCTGTCAGCTTTTTGAAGCTGGTTTTTCAGCTGAGCACTTACACCTCAATGACCCCAGCTGCAGAGGAACCGTCCAGAACGGCAGAGTGGAGTTTAACTTCGACAACGATCAACACATCTGTGGCACAAACCTTGTGGTAAAATCAACTACCTGTGTGATAAATCTGATTTTATAATACTGGCCTGTTGAACGCTTGAACAATGTTCATTCTAATGGTACGTTAACACCAGACATGGATAAAGCATCAAGTCCAGGTGATTTACATTTTAGGTCAATGCAAAGATATTACACATTCTGGGATGCTGTTTGTGCAAATGAAGCAGCGCAAATGACATGAATTGAGCGAATGCCAAGTAATTTGTGATTCGCACAAATCGCTTAAGTTGAAAATCCTGAATTTTGGGAGACATTCACACCACGGTAACCAATCAGGACCTTGCTATATTAGGGGTGTGATTATGACGTAGCGCCAGCAGCTGGTGTGCTGAGAGTAAAACAGCTCATTAAACTGGGACCAGCTCAGTCAGAGTTACCACTGAAAGTGGCCATAATCCAGGTGTAGCTTCTGGAGGAGTTGATGAACTCACAGAGCTGGTGGACCTCTGAAGGATCTGATAGACTCAGACATGGCACCAAATAAATCTATGCCATTTTCAACCTTCCTTAAGCACAGCTACTCTTTCAATAAAATCCCTGTCAGCCATTTAGCAACGGATCTGGAGTCACTAGGCAGATATGTCTGTCCATGACGCGAATCTGCATCTATGGTGAAGTAAATTTAATGGGGGAATGAAGCAAGTAAACTCATGTTCAAGCATCTATTTATTGGCAAATATCTGGATCTATTCTCGCAAGCCGCATCTGTGAACGCTCCATAAGGTGTGCCATTATTTTCAGATAAGCAAACAGCTTGTGACTCCACTTTGGGTGTACATTGTTTTCTAAGATCAAATCATTTATAGTGATGGAAAAAAAAAAAAAAACTATTTTTATTTAACAAATCTGACCATCTGTGTAGTCTCCAGGCAGGTCAATAATTTTCATGAAAAGTTGCCAAATAATAGAAAAGGCCCCAAAAGACTTGCCAAGAAAACTGAAAGTCTTTCATTCAGTGATGAAGAGTGGAGAACAGCATACTACCAACATGACACTTTTGCCCACATTCTTCACCACTTCACTTGACGACTGATGTTATTCTCCAAAATATAATACTCAATTCAATTGAATAAAAAAAATAAAATGTCTATGTGTTGTCTGCAGGCCAACGGCAGCCACTTCATCTACAGTAACTATATTGTGGGGACGCCGGGAACAGAAGGTCTCATCAGCAGAGTGAGAATCCTGAAGCTTTCTTTCAGCTGTGTTTATCCTCAAACACAAACACTTTCCATGAACGTGGAGATCAACCCACTGCAGAGGTGCCACAACACACTCATTCTGCTTTCAGTTTGACTGTTTTATTATCGGTGTATTCGCCAAATTAGACAATTTTACACACGGTAGTTGTTCATTATACATATTTTTTAAACAGCAATGTGCACAAGGTCCTCCCCAGTGGTGAAGGGGTTTATCAGGTGCGGATGGTCCCGTATGTGGATGAAGAGTTCACTCAGCCCTTCACTGGTAGAGTGGATGCAGAGCTGAACCAGGAGATGCATGTGGAGGTTGGTGTTGAGGGGGTCGACAGCCGCCAGTTTGCCCTGGTGATGGACACGTGTTGGGCTACACCTGTGAATGACCCTGATTACAGTCTCCGCTGGGACCTCATCATTGATGAGTAAAATCCTCTGTTTCCCTTTCTTTTTTTTAATGTCTAATTTTTAAAGTTTTTTATATCTACTTCTGAATAAATAATAATCCTTGTTACTTTAGAAATCTTCTGAAATGTGTATCTTTTCAGTGTTTTAGACATTCAACATTCCAGTTTTTGTATAATGATTAACTGGAAATCACTTCTGAGTTGAATGCATGTGATGGAATATTTTGGTTTGTTGATTGTGGTTGTTGATCTCGTCAGGTGTCCCAATCCTGAGGACGACACAGTGAAGCTGCTGCAGAACGGCGTCTCCACAAGCAGCCGTTTCTCCTTCAGGATGTTCATCTTCACTGCAAACTCCACTAAGCTTTACCTGCACTGTGCTGTTCACCTTTGTCTTCTGTCCAGTGAACAATGCTCAACGGTGAGTTTAAAAAGTCTTCAGAATCTCCCACTGATGTTTCAGCACTAAACACAGACAGGGAGATATGATGGTGTTGAGGTTTAATGATGAAGGCTGTTAAACATGTTTGTTCTGCCCTCTGCTGGGGATTTTGTGCACTCCTGTTGGTTTTGTGTTTGTTCAGTGATGTTTATCAGGGATTTGCACAGCTGGATTTGACTCTTTTCTCTTCTAGAGCTGTGACTCTGGAGAGCAGCGGAGAGAGCGCAGGGCTCTGGATCTCCATGACAGTGCGTCACTATCTATGGGTCCTCTAGTGTGGTCTGGAGGAAACACAGGTCAGCATTTCATATGTCTGAATGCAGTGTTGGGGAAGCAGTTCTGAAACTGGAGCTGCATAACCGATGAGTAGCTTAAAGTAATTACACTACTATTAACCCCCCCATAAAAAGTTCCTAACAGTAGCTAGTTACATTAAAGCTAGTTCTTCCCACAATGACATATAAAACAAATAAGGGAATCAGTGTTAATAATGCAATACGATTCTGATGTCAAAGGTTAATAATCACAGTTTTCAATCTTCTCAGTAGACTCTAGGAGTCAAAGTGCAAATATGCAAAAGATGTAACAAATTACTGTTTGATTCAGCTGTAAATAATCTTTTATTTCATCAGACTGACTGATATTCTCTGTTCACAGATGTTCAGTTTCTCCCAGACCAAGTGACGGTTTCTGAGGCTTCTTGTCTGTGTGCTTCTCTGGTGCTGTTGTTCATTCCTCTGATGAGTTTCTTCACCCTTTATTAGTTCATTGACACCAAAAGTGCAACATTTAGTTTGGTTCATTTATTTGAAGTGGAACATGTTTTTGTATTTTTTAATTCATAAATATTGTTTTATGAGGGCTTGAAATGTACTTGACAATTTTTATACTGATTTTATACACTAGGTTAATTATTAATTTATTTAGGAGGATTCATTCATTTTCTTTTCAGCTTAGTCCCTTTATTAATCAGGGGTCGCCACAGCGGAATGAACCGCCAACTCATCTAGCATATGTTTTACACTCATACAATACGGCCAATTTAGCTTATTCAATTCATCAATACCCACATATCTTTGGACTCATGTGGGGAAAACCGGAGCACCCAGTGGAAACCCACGCAAACACAGGGAGAACAAGCAAACTCTACACAAAAATGCCAACTGACCTTGCTGAAGCTCGAAACTGTGAACTTCTTGCTGTGAGGCAATTGTGCTACCCACTTCACCACTGTGACACCCCTATTTAGGAGGATATGCTAGTAAAAAAAACAATTAAATCATGCAATCACTAGGGTTCAGAGATTAAATAACCAGGGTTGATCTGTTGATTAAAGTGACCATGATTAAAGTGACTTGACTTGCTATTTTTCTTTTGCAACAATTTCACTTAGAAAAAGTTGTTTGCACTTTAGTTGGCAACACTTTATAGTACACAGATATGCATTACTCCATACTAAGAAAATTGTTTTAATGTAGTATAAAAGACAAGATTCATGTTTCAACCATGGTTTCCGCTGCATTCATTCTTGCGCCACGTCAAAATTCATCCCGACACGGCTACATTCCAGCTTCTCATTCAAAACATTTTTTTTTTTAATAGCGGGTGATAATCGAATCAAAACGTATTAAAAGATGAGTGAATTATAACTGCGCAAACTTCTCTGTAACTGTAGTAGTGCTGTGCATCATTTGTTTAACTCTAAGGTTATGTGCTGACAGACTGACTGGCTAACTGACAGGTGCATGATGCGCGAGGCATGCAAACACGACGTATATCCCTTTCACTTTACTTCAGGACGCATTAATATCACTTTGTAGGTCTATTAAAGACATTCATAAATATTCTTAGCAAATCTAATTGCTGGAGACATACTCGTTACATAAACGCACTAAATTGCACTTCAGCAGCGTTTATTTAAGAGCGCACAAGAAGATCTGCACACTCTTGAAGCGGCTTATATTTGAGGGGGAGTGCAAGAAGTTTTGTGCACGAGCAGAGGAAATCGGCGAGCAAGCAAAGAGATCCGCATGCTGTAGGCTATTGCATAAATGTGATCTCGACTTTTTATACTGCGCTCACAGCATTTGTCATTGAAATAACGCCACAGGTAGCTGGTAAATCTGTGTAAAAAAATAAAAGGCCTGCCGCCACAGCTGGAAAAAATCCTAGAGGAAACACTGTTTTAACCAATGTGAAACCAAAAGTGGCATTTCTTTTTTATGTTTCCTTTAGCTCTATAACTTCCAAAAAACATTATTATCGTCTGATCATTGAAACTATCTCAGTAACAAATTATAATTTGGAAATGGAAAGTACATTGGCTGTAAACCTGTGATTATTTGTCCATCTGTCTGTGCAGAGAGTGAGAGAACGTCCTCCTAATTGACAGATGCATGCAAAGAAACAACTTAAAGAAGATCACATTACAATTACAAAAAAAAAAAAAAAAAAAAAAATTACAAATATCTCAAATAAACCTGGATCGTACAATTACTTGATCCACACACACTAGGCTGTATTTACACTTCATGGTACAAGTGAGCCAATTCTGAATTGTTTCTCGCATACAGGTAGGTAGAGTATTCAACATCTATTCTTAAGTTAAAGTACAAGAACTTGAGGACATTTTTACTCAAGTAAACGTAACAATCTTAAAAGTTACAGTAAATAAGTATCTGGAAAACACTTGTCGAGTGTGAAATTTGGTATTATAGCATGTTTTAAGTACACATAGTTATTAAATGACCATTAATATGGTTCGAATAGGCATAAATTCGCACTTACTACTATGTGTTTTGTCAGGTTGGAGCTGGAATTCATGTACATGTTGCGATGTCAGTTTAATGTTCAGCATAGGTCTCAAACTGGATTCCTGGAGGCCCGCAGTTCTGCACAGTTTTGCTCCAACCAAAATAAACACACCTGATTAAACTAATCAAGGTGTTCAAGACTACTAAGCTGCATCTGAAATCGCATACTTCCAAACTATATAGTATGCTAAAAACAGTATGCAAGCCGAGTAGTATGTCTGAATTCATAGTATTGGGAAAACAGTATGCCAGTAGTACCAGGATGACCTACTATTTCCGGCGAGTCTCTGAAGTGCGTGAAGCGGACTTTGTCCCTCACCACAAAGAATTTTCCGGCACCACTGGCTTTGCTGGATCACGTCTGCAGTTTATTAAAGACAGGAAAGTGATAAACACCACACAGATACATTCTCCGTTCTCTGTTTTGTCTCACTCAAGTCAAAATGCGTTCTTATTTAACAGTAAACTCCTTTTACATCAAACAATTTGTTTCTCTTGTTCTCTTTAAACAATAGACATCACATACACACAAACTTGCATAATGTATTAATAATAACATACATAATTAAATAATATCAATTCTTAATAAGTAACCTTTATACATTTCTACATATAATCTCATGCATTGAACATAAAGAAAATTATTTCAGTCTATCATCATGAATTGGATCGTATAGTGGGTATTATTTTGTTACAATTACATACCTGCAGTTTATTAAAGACAGGACAGTGATAAACACCAAACAGACACACTCTCAGTTTCTGTGAGTCGCAAAAGAGAAAAGTGAACCGCTGTCTCCTTTAACACTAAAGCAGATTAAAAACTCAAAAATACATGACTACAAAGACACAAACTGGACATAATATAACAATATCTCTTGACAATTTTAACTGCATGACGATTTCAAAGACATAATCCACGTTTTTTTACTATATTTAAGTAGCAAAGTCGACAGAAAAAGGATATATAATCCGCCATTAGTAAAATTGGCGCGGGCGGCAACTTGAACCAAGGCAATAACAGCTCATAACATCAAAACTCTCTTTATACTGAAAAATAATGCTCAACAAGGACACTATTTGACTCAATCCATCATCAAAACATGTCATCCACTGATATGAACAAACATTTTCTTCTTCTTCTTCTTTGGGTTTTACTGGCGGTTGGCAACCAGACTTATAGGTGCATTACCGCCACCGACTGGAATGGAGTATGGAACTAGTTGAATACTTTCTGAAGTGTATAAATTACATGAAGGGAGAGAAAGGGGAAGGAAATTGTGAGGGGAGGGGGAGAGAGGAAAGAGAAAAAAATAAATAAATAAAAAAAAAAAAAAAAAAAAACCTTTTTAATAATAGTAATAAAATTTAATCAAAATGGGGGATGGGGTGGACTAACAATTCTTCTGATATTATCTCTATATTCTTTCCTCTAACTGGGTTTCTTTAATAAATTTAATTATATCATTATATACCTCACTAGATTTGTTTCCTAATAAACCTGCCAATGTAAAATGCTGAAGTTTGCTCTTTTTAACTGACTGAATAAGATTGTTTCGTTCTTTATTATATTTACTACAGTGAAATAAAATATGTTCTATTGTTTCTTGTTGATTACAATGTATACATTGCCCAGTTGGGTGTTTCCCTATTTTATGTAATGTATGATTGAGTCCAGTGTGACCTATTCTCATCCGAGTTATAATACTTCCTTCCCTACGATTTCTGTTCTCCTTCCTCCCAGTTCCAACTTGTTTCTGTATATTATATAAATGTCTACCTGTATCAATGTTATCCCAGTGTACTTGCCATATAACAAACATTTTAACCCAATCGACTATATTTTAACCATTTATCACAGAGCTCATTCACATCATACCTGTCTCACCCAAGTCCAAATCCGTTCTGAAGAGAGCGGGACGCGACCTAAAGGAAGTGACATCACTCAGCGTAAAACTGATTTCAAAACAAAAAGTGAACATTTCCCATATACTTTTATAAGGTTATTAATAATTTTATTTGGACGAAAATGAAAATAATAATAAAATAAAATAATTTATTTATAAAAACAAATGAAAGTTCACTGGAAAGGTCTATCTTAGTTCAATATCCTATGATGCACCGTAAAAGAATTCATGAATGGGAGTGAAGGGACACGATTGACGCGGGTAGGTCTCGTGATGATGTCAAGATGGCGGGTGTATGTCCGGGTTCCATTCATACTGATATTCATATACAACATACTTTTCTAATAGTTGTGCAGTAAATTCAAATTGAACTGCAGTACCTGCTGAGAAGTAGGTAGGCTACATTGCATTATAAAACTATTCTTTTTGACAACTTGGAGTGAAAACAGACTGAACTTGAGGCCGCAGGTGATCTGATCTGATAAATCCACACGTCTTCAGCCATCATTCCAACACAGGTGCTTTATAGCAGCCTTTCATGACACAACCTCCACAACGCAGCACTTTGCAATATTTGCAAACAAATGATATAAACAGCTGACAGTAAAGGTACTTAAAGTGAAGTAAGAGTTAAGTGTTTTCTCTAAAAATGTATATAAAAAGTATGAGTTACCCAACAATTCGCTGAAGTAAATGTAACAAAGTAAATGTAATTTGTTTCTACCCACCTCTGTTGCCATGTGGCACAGGGTTTATTTACTCTTAAAGAGAGTAAATAATTTATTTACAATAAAGAGAGCTTAATTAAGACTTCTGACTATTATAACCATCGCCCTACTGAAAAAAAACAGCTTAAACCAGCCTATAGGCTGGTTGGCTGGTTTTAGGTGGTTGACCAAGCTGGTTTTAGAAGGGTATGACCAGGCTGGAAATGGCTGGAAACCAGCCTGGAAATAGCCAAAACCCCTCTAAATCCAGGCTGGTCAACCAGCTAAAACCAGCCTACCAGCCTAGGCTGGTTTAAGCTGGATTTTTCAGCAGGGA